GTTGTGATCTGATGACTATGCCTAGCTAGGCCTCTTGGCCAAGGCTAGGAGGATGCCTTAGTTTAATTATTTGTGTTATTGAATGTTGAGTTTTGGATTTAATGAGTTGTGATTTATAATCTCTACTTAAATTTATTGATTGGCCATCTTTAGGGTTTGCATCTAGGTAATAAGATGGATACATGTAGATCTAATAAGTTGCATGTCTCCTCACGGCCTAGGTTCTTTCACTACCTCGGGGGTCAAGGCTTTGTTTGAGCAACCAAATGATGTTGAGTGGGTGGAGATGAAGAATGAACAAGAAAGAAAAGGGAATAGAAAGGAAATGTGATTAAATTTAATGGAAAGTGCGAAAAGTAAACTAAAGTAAGGCAATGACGGAAATTAGAGTGCGTAAAGTAAATGATGAAAATTAAATATAATTGAAAAGACAAGTGCAGAAAGTAAAGTGTGTAAAGTAAATGACAGAAATGAAAGTGCACAAAGTAAAGAAGTTAAAGACGAGTGCCTATTGTAAATTGCGTAAAATAAATAATTGAAAATTGAGCACGTAAATTAAAGTGCGGAAATTAAACTAAATAATAAGAGTGATAAAGGTTAAACTAAGACTTGAATAATGTACTTTAAATAAAATTAGTAGCCTCTTTTTCCACTCCCATCCTATTTCCACACCCACCATGTAAATTTGAAAAAACACAGTCATATTTTATCACCCACCATTATTCCTAAAATACCATTTAACTATTAATTCAAGCAAAGTCTTTTTTTTTTTTTTTTCTTTTTCTTCTTTCTCCTTCTTTCTTCTATTCCTTCTTCCCTCCCCTTCCATGACTCTTCTCTGCTCATTCAATCTTCCACCATGATGAATCAAGTTGGTTCCTTAATCTTCTGAAAATCTTGAGAGGTCCCTTTTTTTTTTTCCCAAATTGAAAGGTCTCTCTTTGTTCTTTAAAATTTCAGCGTTGTGTAGTTGGTGAGTGGCTGTTGGGTTTTTTATTTTTTATTATTTATTTTTCATACAAACTTGAACAACTCACTTGCCCAATAATACACCATGAAAGCAACATGTGTGAATGGGCTTGTGATGTGTTCTACGTGTGTTAGGGTTTTTTTTTTTTTCAATTCTACTTTTTCTTTTCCAATTTTTTTTAGTCCTTAAAAGTCATTTTACAAAGAGGTAAATTTTTCTTTAAAAATTTGAAAATAAAGTGGGTTGGGAAATAGGACAGTGGGTGAAAATAGCAACACTAAAAAAACAATAAATAAGTCAAATTTGGCGTGGGCCCATCACGGCCCGACATGAGCACGGCCCGAGCTCATATGGGCTTGGACTGTGAGCTCGGGCCGGAATTGATAATTTTCATAAATGAACAGGCCCGACATTGCCTGTTTATTAAATGGGCAAACTCTAAATGGACCGACATGACCCGTTTGAGACCTATGAGCCCAAGTCCCATTCAGATTTAAAAAATCCCTAAATGGGTTTTTTTCCTCCTCTTTCTTGGTCAAATTGCTCATATATCTCTCTGATTTGGCTTGCTCTTCGTTGTCCATGGTTGGGATCGCGATTTAGGATATGTTTTTTCTTATATAGATGGGTTTCTATGGTCATGGTTCATCATTTCTCCTCTCTACCCCAAAATTTCCCTTTATTATTGTGGGAGCGATTTTCATCCCACAAGAATATTCGCCTAAGATTCCTTCTTCAACTTCACTTCTCTTTCTCCCTACAAAACCAATCGGAGTAAAAGTTAGTTCGATGCCTAAGTTAGTTCGATTGATTCGTAGAGAAACAATAGCTAAAAAGGGTACAGAGCTCTCGTGGGAAGAATCAGGTGGCCAGAGTCGTGTGTGGTGGGCGGAGCCTTGTGAGTGAGAGAGAGAAAGAGTTATGACGGCTAGGATTTGTGAGTGTGAATTTTTGCAGAGTTTCATATAGAAGTTTAGACGTACCTCAACCCTTGGTGCGATTGATTCGTAGAGAAACAATAGTTAAAAAGGGTACGGATCTCTCATGGGGAGAATCGGGTGGCCAGAGCCGTGTGTGGTGGCCGGAGCCTTGTGTGAGAGAGAAAGAGTTATGGTGGCTAGGGTTTGTGAGTGGGAATTTTTGCAGAGTTTCAGATAGAAGTTTAGACGTACCTCAACCCTTGGTGTAGCCATGTATTTATAGGAGCTTAGAAGGCTAGGGTTTCAGAAGAATAATTCCACATATGGAAAGGAATTATTCTTCCCCAATTTGGAGAGATTGATGTAATTAGGGATTTGATTTAAATCAAATCCCTAATTAAGGCAAGAATCAAATAATTCCCAATTAAATCAAATAACTCCCAATTAGGTCAAATAATTCCCAAATGGATTGGCTTAATGAGGTTGGTCGGCAACTGAATGAGGTTGTGTTGCAGAATCAAATATATATGGAAGTTTGGCAAATATATATATATAATTTGAGGGACACCCTTTAGGGTACCCTACAGATTTTTTTTCCAATGATCCAAACCATCTATTTTTTAAGTCTACATTCATAGATCATCCTTGCAAAAAATTAGACAAATCGGAAACTGTTTTGTCATCTAATTGTATCATACAAAATCAATAAACACGGTGCTTCAAGAAAGTACTAAAATTTCAATAACACAATTGAGTGGTCAAACGATATCAGATTCAAGTGATTTTTTGTAGATGATATTTGAATGATTATTTAAAACATAGACTGTTTGGATTAGTGAAATATAATGCGGAGTGGGCCCTACAAGGGTGTCCCTCAAATAAGCTAATTTGAGAGATCCCTCAATGGAAGCTCTCTCCCTCAAATAAGCTAATTTGAGAGATCCCTCTCTATATATATATATAGAAGTAGAACACATATCTTGAAGCACAATGATAAGGACTATAGAATGAACTAAGTTGCCCAGGAAATCAACCTTAGAGGGGGGTGAATAGGGTTGATGGTAAAATTATGTAATAAACAATTTCTAAAACAATGAGAAGATCAACTAAGAATATAAAGCTTAGAAAAATAAATTGACAAGCACTGAAATAATGAGATAATGATATGTTCAAACTGAGAGATTTGGTTCAGTCTCCCAGACCTACGTCAACCCCTCAAGCACACCACTTAAGAGTTTTACCTATTTATGCTGAAAACTCCTTGCGGGATGAGTTCAAACCTTTAGAGCATTTCCAGCAGTCAAACCCTTGCCATGGCAAGGGGGGGGGGGCTAGGGCTGACACTATTCACATGAATAGTGGCTGCCCTTGCCATATTAAGCTATGTGTGTTTCCAGCAGTCAAACCCTTGCCATGGCAACTACTATTCATTTTTTTGTTTTTTTCACAACTTTTTTTACTTAAACAATTATTTTGGATAATATTTTCGGGTAAGATTTTTGGGTTCCTACGTGTCAATACTATTCATATCGGATAAGATTTTCGGTTTCAAATTTCAAATTTAAGATACATTTCAAAACTTGAATAATAGTAGAAAGAAGAATAAAATGTATGAGGATTTGGTGTTAAAAGTGAAGAGTATTGGTTGGTATTTATAGAAAAAAAATTCAGTATTTTTTTTAAAAAAATTTCATTTTTTTTCATTTTTTTATTGCACAAAAATTGGTTGCCGTTGGATTTGAGGAAAAATTCTGATCGAACAGCCCAGAACGCGGCACGTGGCAGAATGGTACTGTGCGTGGCACTGTAGCGGTACTGTTGCGCTGACGTCAGCTTGCCCGAGTTTTGGACCTGGGGCTAGACTTGCCCTCTGGCCAGCCCAGTTCGCTGGGTCCCACTACTTGCCCGGGCTGAGTTTTGTTGCTGGAAACAGGTTTTTGGGCTTGCCCCCCCCAGCCCTCCCCTTGCCCTCCTTGCTGGAAATTCTCTTAGGGCACTTCCAGCAGTCAAACCCTTGCCATGGCAAGTGGGGGCCTAAGGCTGACACTATTCACATGAATAGTATCTGCCCTTGTAAAAAGTAAGTTCCACTTCCAACAGTTGTCCGGGCAAAGGGCAAGTACTATTCAATTTATTTTATTTTTCACAAATTTGTTTACCTAAACAATTAATTTGGACAATATTTTCGGATAAAATTTTTGGGTTCGTACTTGTCAATACTTGCGTAAAAAGTGAATAATAGTAGAATTAGAAGAAAATATATGAGGATTTGGTGTTGAAAGTGAAGAGTTTTGGTAGGTATTTATAGAAAAAAAAATTACAGAATTTTTGGATTTTTTTAAAAAAAATTTCGATTTTTTTTCATTTTTTTATTGCACAAAAATTGGCTGCCGTTGGATTGGAGGAAAAATTCTGATCGGAGAGCCCAGAACGCGACACTTGGCAAAGAGCTGTTGGCGGCACTGTAGAATCACTGTAGCGCCACTGTAGTGGATGACGTCAGCAGCGCCTTCGGGCCAGCACTCGGGTTGTTTCTGCCTTCGGGCCAGCCGAGGCTGGTGGACCCCAGCAGTTGCCCAGGCTAGCTTTTGTTGCTGGAAATGGGTTTTGGCCTTCTACCCCCCCAGCCCTTGCCCTAGGGGGCTGCTGGAAATGGCCTTACACATTAGAGCACACCATCTTTCTCACAAGGTGGAAGACACCCTTCTCACCTTATTATAGGGCCACACCCTCACTAAAACTCTTGTATGAATTGGAATGAAATAAGGCTCAAGATAAAATGATAGCAAGATAGTGATGGATGTTTGTGATTGCAATTGCAAGCTTGTATCGAGCAAGGTGTTTAAGAATTTATGAAAGGAATCCGCCCATTTGACACATTGATGAAGCAACTGTTAGATTTCGAAAAACTAGATTTGCATTTTGAATTCTGATCTGGAAAACTCAATTAAGTCAAAAGTGCAACTGTTTATTTTGAGATACCTGGTCAGATTGATTGATGTACATCATTTTTTCCACGTGAACGTTTGAAATATATAATCTGAATTTGAACTCCGAAGTTCCAGAATGAATTGTGCCAAATACAAAAAGAAGAGGAAAGAAAACTAATATCCATTTCAAAGAAGAAAGTATGATATAATAATATCAATATCCATTTCAAACTAATTAATATCAACCGTTTGAACATGTCAATAATTCTGTTGCAAGTCATCTCTGCAAGAGAACCAATTCTATGTCAGTCTACGGCAACGATACAAGATAATGAAGAATAAAAACAGGTACACAGAAAGGATGGCGTTTCGCCAATCGCATTTCCGGTTGCACCTATTCTATTTATTTACAATCTACTACTCTACCGTCTTCATTTGGCAATAATGTACAGTCACTTCATACTGGACTAGATATAAGCAACAAAGTCTGTTTTCAAATCTTTTTTTCTTTCCCACAAAATATTAATTTTTCAGAACTTGCAGGAAGTAGTAATTCCCAACCTCTGCTTCAAGCTCAGGGACTTTGTGCCCTCAAGTACCTCCGGCAAAAGCTTTTCGAAACTATCCAAGAACAGTTCCCATTCAGCTCCACTCATATCTCCAAAAGATATTGCCCCTGCTTCACAATTGTGGGTAGGTACTGAGAAACTCATGCTCTTCATCAAAACCCTGACCTTACGACAATCACTAGTACTCCCATCATCATCACTACTATTATTGCCTATCATAGTCTTTCTGTCATTATCGTCGTTATCATGATCGTTTTGCTCGAATAGTGGAGACAGAGATGCATCGGTCAACCCAGTAATTGATCCTGCAGATGAAAACCTTGACATAATGGGTGGCTTACTCATTCCAGAATGGCTCCCTAAGAGTTGAGGAAGATCCAAATTCTCTTTCAAACGTTCCTCACTTTCTTTTTCAAGTTTAAACATTTCAACTTCTCCAATTTTTCCTTTCGTCTCATCTACTGTAGTAGGCATGGCAGCCTTAGCTTGCAAACAAAGGTTCTCTAATGCACTCAGACTTTCTTCTCCAGCACAGAACTGCCGAGTCATCATTTCCCCTATATCAGCAAGACAAAGCCCAGCTGCAGCAGCCTGCTTCAAGAAGATGGTGCATAGCACAAGAACACGGATAGCAGCCTCCCGTAAATAAGGAATATGAGTTCTAAGAAGCTCTGCATCTTTGTAGGGGTCAAGATTGGATATGTACTCAATTTCAAACTCGGAAAAGGGAACTGAAGCTTGAGGCCAGTGCAACCATTCAAAATATGGATCATCAAGCCACTCAGGAAGGCAAAGACCATGGTCAATAGGCACAAGCTCAGCCACCCCAACTGCATAATTGTGCAGTTCGTATTTTTTAACAAGCATATTCCCTGCATGCCTGTCAAGATTTAAGAGTCTTACATCAAAAATTCCAATACGATGAACAGAAGCAACTGAGAAGCCTGAAGAACCTAACTCTCCTGCATCATAGTCATGATCCACGAAGCGCTGCAGAGAAGCAATCTTATAAGGTGTAGCTGAAATTCCGGCTGCATTGTTATTAATTTGGAATGCAACATGGGAAATTTTTACTAAAGCTGTGGGAGGAACACCAGCGAATCCACCGTGGTCAAGGAGATAAGCTGCCAATTCTCGAACTCCAGATTCACCGATCCGAACTGAGCGTTTCAAACCCGGTTGGCCCAGCATCCGACCCCCAAAGCCTTTAGGGTTATTGAAAGCTAAAGGTTCTTCATCTATTGGCTTTGCCACAGCAATACTGTCACCATTTTGACTACATAAGTAGTAGGCACCCCCTAGTCCACTTGACACTGGCAAGAGATCAGCACCAGATGCCATAGCTATGGCGACCTCGACTACAAGAGCATGTACCCTAGGTATCCTACTGCCTCCAACAATTTCAATCCTTGGATTTGTGTCAAAATCTTCCTCCAATGCAGTGGTTAGGGATAGACAAGGGGTGGAGAAGCTTTTGTGAAAATTAGCATCACCAAATGCGTGTGTTAAGGAGTGGGCAAGTATGCTGTAATCGAGTTGAGTGTAGGACTGTAATCTGCATCTCTGGGATCGGCTGAATGGCCTGAATCCATGGTGTTGATCAACTGCTACAGCCATTTTGACAAATGTCATACAGGTAAGAATGGAAGGGAGTGCATGCCAGGGGCACCTTTTCTCAAAAGATCCCCTGAGAATTAGTCTTCCCTTGGGAGATTAAGCTGCATTTTTAACACAAACACACTTCACATCAGTTTCCAACAATCTCAACATAATATGCATTATGAAAAATCTTAGCAACCAAAAGATAATATTGTTGGACACAAACTTAAAGTTGGCAGTCAATTTCCATTCATCAAGTGCATATCTTAATTACATTACAGTGTTGAGAAGAAAGAATTGTTCTCTGTTCGATAACGAAAAAGAGAGGATATCAGTGTTGAGTGCTGATCTACTGCTGGTATTTTACTTCAAAGAAACTTTAAAGGAGAAGAGAGAAGAAGCAATCTGATTGAAATTTCCTATGGGAACTTCAACAAACAGATACTCTTGGGTTTTAAAAAGCAGTTCAGTATATGAATATACACTACTGTATATGATTGCAGCCTTTCATAACTAAATCTGTCAGATGATATTCAAGCCATTTGTGCAGATCATTGCTTCATTGAATAGATAAATTATTGTTTGATAAAAGAAGTGGATAATAATCATTGTAATTTTTGGCCTAGCTATCATATAGTTGATGTGAAAGAATTAGGTCTTGGAACTATAATCAAGGGTGGATCTTCCTATATGAAAAAGCCAACAGGTTTGCAACTTGAGTATCAATATTTGTGGTGCAATTATAGAGAGAGTTTTTTTCGGCACTCTTCCATCATTCCATGGGATCTATGTGTGTTAAACATAGTGATGATTAAGAGAAGGTAGATAGACTCATATCTTGCTTTGTATAAGGGTAAACTTGTCATTAAATTTTTCATTAAAATGTGAGCGGGAAAATGGGACATCTGGTCAGAATAACCACACTCAAAAGTAATCATTACATATAAGGAGTTTGTAGCTTAAATGATTAAGAGCATCTATCCGTGCACTCGAGGCTCCTACATTCAATTCCCCAATCCCCCGATCCTCTATAGAACTAAAAAGTCGAAATTGAAATAAAATGGACCGAAGAAAGTGAAAAGGAGATAAGTATTGAGATTTCATGAGCAATATATAAAAAGAAGCATAAAAGTTTTGGAAGGAAACGATTAAATGATGTATCTGACCAGAGAGTGGCATACAGGTGGCGAATATGATCATACGCTGTATTCAACTAACTAATCCCATAATTCGTGAATGACCAAAGACACACCCCAACTTCTCTCCATTTCGCATAAATCCATCACAACCTGCATATTTTCATCATTCATATCACAATCACCCAGAAATCACAAGCACTAAAAATGCAAATATTGTTTCTTGTTCGTTAAGGAATAAATTTTTTGATTCAAAATTTACTTATTAACAAAAAATAAAAAACAAGGGACTAGTGGTTCAAATGGTTACCATAACCCTAAAGTCGCTTGTATCAAAATACTAAAAGCACCAACCTATTTTTCCCTCGCTCCTCCGCATATAAATCGCCACGATAGTCTGGAACATAGGGCAAATGCAAGTCAGGGTTACAGGCGCAACAACATTTTACAGTATGAATGTGAATCAAATATGAGAAAATTAAAAACAGGGGTTAACTACGTAAAGCCCCGTAAACTATTAAGCATTTTGTGAATTCCATACACGATTTGTTGGACATTTATTAACTCATACACAAACTCCCGGAAACCTACAAATTCCACTCACCGTTAGTAATTAAATAATTAAACAATAAATAAAGGAGCATGAAATAAAGAAGCATACCCTGAACACTGGCAAGGCATTCAGGGAGACGAACAGAAGGGGGGAGCGTGAGAGACAAACAGTTTGTCACCCAATTGTGTTTAAAACCTGTGAAATGATGTCTTCTCCCACTCTTTTGGATATTAAATGGGAATGCTTTTAACTTTCAACCACCCCCAATCTGCAGCGCCCCAACCTTTGCTCCTCTATTCGATTTTGATCCCCCTCCTCCCCTTCTCCCCTCTTTCCCTCTTTTTTTCATTTTTGTTCCCTTTTTAATTTTCATCTTTCTTTTTCGGTGGTTGTTGGGTTTGGTTTCACCACGTCCCCTTATTTTTTGCTGCGACTCCTAAGGCAACGTTTTTCTATTTTCAGACATGTTTTGTTTGTTTTTGTTTCTTTGTTTGTTCACTTTCTAGGAGCCAAATTGGTTAAAATCTTCATCTTGATATGGGTAATGCAACATAATAGTAAATAGTAATAACTAAAAAGAAAATGTCAAGTGTAAAAGAATAGTATAATTAATATAGCCAAGCGAACCGAACCGAACCAGACTAGACTAAGTGCTATTTGGTTCTACTTTAGCTAAAATTAAAGGTTTTCAATGTAAGAATCGAATCAAACCCTTCTGATTGGTTCAAACAGGCCCTTAAGTCATTTCATGAAAACAGGAATGAGACTGCACAACCCGCGGTTCCTTAATTAGATTCCATTAAGTACCTTCAAATTTCATAGATGCGTCATTCATCATCACAAAGACGAGAAGACCCATAAGAAGTTCTCAGCCATAAACTATACTATATCAACTCCACTTATGACTTCACCACAAAATATTACAGCGCGAATGAAACATGCTGTGGGAGACACTAAATTTTGTTGCATTTATGTGGATCAGCAAAATTGGAGTTGTATGAGCAAACTATATTGGTGTAATTACAAGGCAAAATGGCACCAGTGGTGTTATATATTATAGTGCAAAATTGTTTGTGTCATCACAATGCATTAGAAATGGAAAAATACTAGAGACACCAACTTTGGACACCAACTCTCTAATAGAGCGTGAGACCCGTTGTATTGGCGGGCTCCACCTCTATTAGAGAGTTGGTGCCCAAGTTGGTCCCTCTAGCACCACTCTTAGCAATGTGTCATTACAGTGCAATAATAATAGTGTTTGTAATGAATTAGCATATAGTGACAATGAAGTTGCAATGGAAGCAATTCTACTGCACTGTACTCATAATAGGATTCATTTTTTAAACAAATGTGCAATGATACTCAAGAACACATGGAGGTGAGAAGAAAAAAACGTATAAATTATTTTTATCTAAAATTAAAAAATGAATTTAAGTTGGGTTAATTTTTTTACTTTTTTATATATTACTCCACTTGAAAAAGTAAAAGATAAATATTTACTTGACAAAGTAGCAAATACAGAAAAGTAATATGTAAACGAAAAAGTAATAGGTTATGATCAGTACCTAAGACTCAATCATGTGTTTGTATCATCAAATTATCTAACATTAATAGTAGTTGTTTGAATTTAAGCAGATAAAGGAACAAAAGTTGATTTTTTCCACAAAAAATATAACAAATACGCAAGAAAACAAATATGCATACTTTGACAGATTTATTCATTCCACTCATCCCCTTTTGCCATGGTAAAAGATGTCCTAGGCTCCAAAAACAACTCCTACAAAGGAAAAGTTGCCATGACAAGAAGTGGGTCCACGAAACTGAGCAAGCCCAAAGGCAAGACTTGACTAGGCTGCTGATGTCATGCTGATGTCAGTGTGACATCATGGTGATGTTACATCATGGTGATGTTAGTGTGACGTCAGTGGCCAATTTAAAAACCAACAAAATTTTAAAAAAAATACCAACAAATTTAGAATTTTTTTTCTATAAATACCTAGCCATGTTCTTCACTTCCCATACCAAAATCCATACAAATTATTCTCCTCATATCTTATCTATATATATAAAGCAAAAGGTAGAGAATGGTGAAACATTCAAAATACCAGAAAATGCCCTTGGTTAATGCAAAAATTAAGAATTGAAATTATTAATTAAATAAGGATAATATGATAAATTCACACTTTTTCATATTTAAAAAAAATTAAAAGAAAAAGAAAAATCAGATAATGGATCCTATTTTTATGGAACACAACTACCCATTATCTTTTTAATTCTAAAATAAATTTAATTTTTTTTAAAAAAAGGCCTCTCATAGGCACGGAAGTGCATGCAGAGAGGCTACTGTAAATAGTGGTTGCCCTTGGGTTGCCATGGCTATGGATGGGAATGCATCAAAAAATTGCTAGGACAAATACTATTCACATGAATAGTATTTGCCCTTACTTGCCATTACCATGGCATAATAGAGTGGAAGTGCTCTTAGTCGTACGTGCAGTTACAAGTTTTTTTAATTTTCTACAAGCTGATTCTTGACATATTTCTTATTAGCACTATAAATTGTCCGGGTAACTAAACTAATTAACTTATTTTTTAAAAACAAAAACCTAAAGCCTGAAAAGGAAAATAAGTACTGAAAATCAGAGCTATCAAAGGAAAATAAATTGTAATGCAGCCTTTTTTTTTTTGGTCAAAGAAAACTTTATTCATTGAATATGAAAAGGTGGGCATCAAAACCGGAATACCGATACCGTCCCGAAACCGTGCCATTCCGTGTCAAACTCGTGCCAAACCGTTTGGTGTTGATGCTTAAACGGGATGAAACCGTGTCATCCCGTTACTGTTTGGCACGACACCGGTATCAGATTTGTGATCCCGCTTGGTGTCATACCGTACCGTACAGTAACTAATTAATATTAAATATTAAATATTAAAATATTATTTCCAACATTTCAGATTTAGTCAACCTCTTCTCGTCTTTCTCCTTTTTATTCTCCTCCCTCTCTTTTTTAATTATGTTTTCCTCTCTCTCTCTCTCTCTCTCTCTCTCTCTCTCTCTCTCTTTCTTTC